TAAATTTTAAATAGGTCAATGAGATAACTTCCAGGGCTAGTCAAGAAACAAGGATTCCATTCCACACCTAAGAAAAAACTGACACCACTGAGAAAAGTATTACCCAACAAAAGCTGAAATTTCACCAAGTTCCATGATCACCATTTGCAAGTCAATTGAACAAAGGTTCATCAATTAAATTATTTCTTTTATCTCAGTTAATCTTACTGGATATAACACTCAAATTATGTTTTTAATCACATTCTGGAAGAAGTTTTCGCCATTTGGAACAGCTGCCTCTCTCAGCAGGTCTCTCTTGAGCTCAGAACATGAAGAGAAGAGGGGTAGCCCAAGAAATTATTCCTACAGATTATTTTTGGTAATAATGCAGAATAATGCAGAAAACATTATTTTTCTTTGAAAAGAAAATAAAAAAGGAAACAGTTATTTAATTTTCTAGTTTGCTCATACAGAAAAACTCCAAGCAACCAAAACCCCAAAGAAATGGTCAAAAGAGCTGGATCTAGAAACTCCACGAAACTTTTTTACCCTGGGATCAAAAAGCATCCAAAAAGATTTGGCATCAAGGGCATCCCATGGTTTGGGATGTATGTACCTGATGTATGAGCAAGTGATTAGAGGGAGGGATGCCTAAAGCTTTTTACAACATCAACAATAAACCCATAAAAACTCACTCTCTGGCTCTGATTTCATTCACTGATACATTGGGCCATCATATAAAGAACCTGATGCAGTAAAATTCTGAGGAACTCCCAAATAACTGTCTGGGACCTGTTAGAACTGGTGGAACTTGAGAAAATAAGAACACCTTTCATTTTCCTCAGGCACTGATGCTGAGAAGGCAAAACTTTTCACCAAGGACAGACAGCAGGATTTTTTCAGATCATCCTGTGCTCCATCAAAAACAAGTCCTGCAGAAAGATCTGAGTGTATTACACTGTTCTAGTAGCAAGTTAGTAAAAAAAAGGCAATACACCTGAAAAGGTCTGTATTATAAAATACTTTGTCTTGGCGAGCTTTTGCTATTCCCACAGCAAAAACAGCTCATCCTGTCTCTTTCATTAAAGGATTTTTTTAAATGCAAAAGCTTCTTACAAAATGGCATGTTTGGGACTTGAAACTTCTAGAAATTCACTTTTTCCCAGACTATGATGGGAAAATATCCTTCTCAGAAAAAAAAAAAAAAAAGGTGCTTTGAAAAGCTGTAAGCATCTGAAATCAACATGTTTTGACAGATCATAATTTTTAATGTCAGCAGACCTAAAAGATGCTTGCAACAATCTGGATGAAAGAACAGTGCAATGAAGGTTTACTACAGCAGACTTTTTTCCTTTTTAAAATTTCCACAAGTTGCTTGCTTTGGCATTTGAGAAAGACCTAATAGCACACATATCCTAGCTCCTGGTACTTTTTTTTCCCAAATATTACATTTCTTTTCTAGGAAGCATGAGCTGCTGGTGTGAGGAGAAGGAGGAGGAAGGTGAGCAGGTCTGATTAGTTTCTGTCCATGTCACTCGGTGTCTTAAGTTCTGGTCAGTTTTGGATGTTATCTTGTTTTGTCAGTGCCAGACATCTCTGTTTATCAGTTTGATTGAAATTACCCTCCCCTGTGCAGGAGTCCAGGGACAGTGAGAAACCCAAAATGCTCAAAAACTTGCTCATTAATTTCTCTCAAAGCTGAGCATTGCTCTGAGCAGGAGTTTGGGAGAGACAAGAACATGTAGTTTGTGATCTGATATCTCATAAGGAAGCAGCAGAGGAGTTGCTTAAATATCCCAGCCTCTAATGTGTTGAATGGGCACCGAGGCTGCTCATTCCCTGCCATCTGCTGAGTGAGGATTCAGAGCACTATGGAGTTCTTTCAGCCTGGCAGATCCAAAGACACTTTCATCTGGAAGAAAAGTGTCCTCAAGGGGGAAGTGGTAGGAGATAAACCTTCTGCTAAGACTCTTCTTGCTGGCATCGTGGCGATCATTCAGGAGCACTAAAGAGAAGTGGGATTAGAGCAAAAACTGCTGATGTGTTTGAATGAGATTTATGAAAAACTGTTGGTCAAGCAGTTCCCTAAATCTGCATCTATTCCAGGTGCATGCCATGATTGGTCTCCACAGGGGGTAGGGATGAGCCAAAGGGAAACAGATCACAGAGTGCTTTTGGCATCCCTGTATTTTGCTTGCACAGCCACACACGAGCGTGACCTTAGGCTGCCATATGGACGGGGCATCCTTATGAGGTAGATTTTTCACAGCCTGGGTGGGCAAATGGAGCACCAGGAAAGAATGCCAGTGCAGGAAGCCAAGGGCTTGCTCAGCCCAGAATGTCTTCAGGGGTGGCTGCTTCCATCTTTGGCCCAAGAGGACAAATCCTGGGCAAGCAAAGCATGGCTGAAGCTGCCTGGGAGACACAATCAGTTTCCACCATTTCCAGTGAAGGGTTGTGGGAGCAGCAGAACAATGTCACCTCTGCACCGACCCAGCTGCTTGCCAGAGGCAAATGCACACCCCTGAGGTTCAGCTGCCTGTGCCCCAGCCCAGCCATGGTGCAGCTATGTGACCTTGGATCTGGCTGCTGGGAAAGAGCTGGGAAAAACCTCACTGGGAGACTCTCCTCTTCCCTTGGGAACCACCCTTAAGACCCTCAGCTTTGGTGTTTGCATGAGCTACAAAGCAGCTGTGCCTGTGCCTGGCCATGCACACCATGCACTGATGCACACCAGGGTCCTGCCTCATTTCTCCAAATTTTCCAGGTTGTCAATGACCAGATGGCAGCTACTGCTCACTGCCCCTCAGGTCCTGTGACACTTTTGCATTCAGGTGCTGCAGGACTGCACCCTGGTTGGTGAGACAGCCCACCCGACCCTGCCCACACCGTTGGTTCCCAGATTACCTTCCCATGGGGAGCATCATTCAACTCCCAGCTGTAGCTTCCTGCTCCATCACACCAGTCAATGGTGGGCACTCCAGAGAGGGAATAGCTAAGCCATGGCTATTTATCACTGGCTTAAATCAACTGAACTTAGGGACCTGTTTCTGATGCTTGGTAACCAGAAGAGAACCACTGTGCGTTCATTATGGGTGGGAAAGGCTTGTGCATTTGTTTTTGCTGTCAGGAAAATATTGCCCCATGTAATCTCCAGAGATGTGTCCTGCTTATCTTCACATGACTTAGAAACCAGAAGATTCATCACTTCCTTGAAAGACTATCGTACAACCTAAAAGAGTCCTAGCATTAGGAAATACTAAGAAATAAAATATTTTCTGGGAGGAAAACTTTTAATCATAAGCCTGTGAATTGAGCTGCTGACCAAATAACAGATTCTATGCTTAGCTGGGAGGTATTTTCTGCCTTTGAAAGCAATGGACCACTGGAAGTGGGACCCACAAAAATCCGAGAGAAACCAACGAACCAACATGTTCCAGGGACCAGCTTCCCTAGTGCCAGAGCACAAGGACGACCAAAAGCCAGAGTAACCAGGACATTTGAGTTGACATGTATATTCCCACCCAATGGAAAACACCCCCTGGCTCCTGAGCAGCCTGGGGTCCCCATTGATCTACCTGTTGCCTTGTGGTTTGTTGCAATTGCAGTAAAGCTGCCAGGGAAGATTCCATGAATATCCACAAAAGCAGTTTGCTCTCTATAGAGAACTATCTTTGTGTAATTCACAGAGACCTGATCTCCATTGATTTTTTTCGATGGTTTGACCTGTATAAATGGTCACCATAATATAAAAAAATAAAGTTCTATGTGTATGGAAAATCATGCTGTGAAAAACCAGTGTCCATAAAGAAGATAGAAGACTCCTGCAACTTTATTCAAATAAAGGGAGAGAGTCCACCATGGCACAGCCACGGGGTTTTCTCTCTTGAGGTTTTGGAGGGTGCAGCCTCCAATTTTATCCTGTACTCCTGGCTGCATGTCACCCTCTTCCTTTCCCCTCTGGCTGAGGTACAGGGAAGGTCCAGCCTTCCCAAATCACCTGCAACATTGTCATGTTACCCCAAAGTTCAGGAACTCAGGTTATGTGGGCCCATTTGTCTGGTTCAGGAGTAAAACTGTCCGGGTTCTGCAACAAACCAGAGGCTTGAAGTTGATAGAGACATTAATATCCATTTCAAAGACATTAACTCCCATGCCTTCACTCATGTAATTGTTTGTAAAGACATTGGCACACCTCTCCTTTCACGTGCAACCATTTTTCTTTTTTCAGTGACCACCCCAGCTTGACATGCTTGTCCCCTAATATCCTTCCCCTTTTCAGGCTATAGATTTATTACCACCTACTGGCATGGTATTTTTTTAAGCAGTACTGCTGGAAGAAGCAGAGAAAAAGAAGACTTATTTTTAAGGCAGTGCAGTGCCTTTCCCAATCCCAATCCAAGTGTGGGAGGGTATGTTTCTTTAAGGCTGGTTATGTATTCATGTAACAAGGCAAGTGCATACGTGAAACGAGCTTCTCCCGAAGCTTTAAGTCTGCAGGGAATTTTCTAATGATCGTTTTTAGTTAATAGGCACAAGTTGTTATGTTAGCCTGAGCTGGGAAAGCCTTTTTTTTTTTTTTTTTTTTCGGGGCAATTTCCACCCCTTTTTTTTTTTTTTTTTTTTTTTTTTTTTTTTTTTTTTTTTTTTGTCATGGATTTAGTTCCCACAGCTAACGCACCTAATAATGAGACTGGGCAAGCGGATGCCGGCGTAATGATACGGAGCTCGTTTGGCCCTGACAAAGCACACAGAGCGGCTGGATGGCCCAAACGACAGGCCAAGGGCTCTATTCATCCCAAAGGATCACTCGCCTGCCGCGCCACCGAATCCCACCGAGGGAAAGCCGCACCTCTGCCGGGGCGAGGTGTCCGCCACGGTGCCGCCCCGTCACTAAATGAGGGGTGAAACACGGCAACGCTGCGAGGGTTAAGCCCTTGGCCGAATATTTTAATTGCTGTTTCGTAACACACATACGCACCAGCCAGCTGGAGCGAGGGAAAACATCCCTTAAAACTTACCAGACAGGTTACAAGGACCCGGCTGAGCCGCGCTCCCTCAGCCCGGGCGGGCGGCAGGGGTGGTGGTCTGTCTTTGGAACTGGCATTTTCCCCGCAGCGCTTTCCCGCTGCCCTCCCCTCCTCTCGCCAACCGAGTTAATAAACACCTAGCGGCTCACTCCGTGGCGTCTGTGTGCAAACAGCTCCCACTGAGCCAGGGAAAACTGTCCCTGCAGGAATTCCATTCCAGCCTTTTCCACCTTGGCCTCCCAGAGCACGGCACAAAGGAAGGTGCTGTGCCTGCATTCAGCCCGTGGGACGGACAGGCCAGCCCAGATCCTTTCCCATCGTCCGGCCACTTCAGTCACTGACCCTCTGCTTCTGGGGCTCGGCTCCCGTTTTCCCCTTGTCACAGCTCGCCGAATACTCCTCCATTCAGGGAGCTCCGGCCGTGAGAGAAGAGCAGGTTAAAATTGCTGTGGACATGGTAGGGCTGGCAGCAAATGGAAGCTCAGTGGTGTCCTAGAAGACCCCACTAGGACTCCTCTTTAACAAGGATCAAACCAGAGGAAATTATGGGCTAAGCTTGTCTTTGATTACAAAGATTTCTTTTTAAGTAGCTCTATGGATAAGTAATTTGAGAGAAACCGTTTACTTTCATGTATTTTACCTCTTACAGAATTTCTGCCAGGAAATTATCAGATTCTCGCTACTCTACAAAAATATCCAGCACCAAGGAGGTTTTTTTCATAATTTACATAATATTGCATTATTTTAAACAGATTTTTCTCTTTTCTAGAGGAAATAATTTGCTTTGGTGTAGCTGAGTCTATGCCGTGTTCCTTGTCCTGAGCTGGATGACCATGAACTCCAGTATCTGTATGTGGAAATACAGATCCATCCAAGGCTGAAATTTGTATAGACTGGTTGTTGGTGATAAATAAACTGTGAATGCTCACAGAAAGCTGACCTGAGGGTCATATATTAGTATGACTGGAGCAAATTCCTGTATGGATTTTAATGAACTCTTATGGAGAAATGTTTGCAGAATCAGTTTGGTCTCAAAGTGTCTGATGAGATGCTTCCATGTACAATCAGTACTTGACATATTGGCAGGATGTCCATAAAACTGACTTGCACACTCTTTATGATCTTGTCATCAGGCACAGGGGAGATGCCATTACACAGATACATCTTCTTTGCTTCCCTCAAAAGAAAATTACCCAGCTTTGCCTGTGGTTATGACAGGCAGGGAGATGGCACATAAGGTTATGGATTCTGCTTTGCTACTGCAGGCTCTATAAGGAAACACTCAAGAAGCAATAGTCTGGGTTGAGGTAGCATTGAGGTGTAGCATTATTATTTTTTTTTTAATCAGAGTCTTTTACTGTACTCTATAAAAACCCCCATTAGCATTTTCTTTTCAGATGCTCTGCTGCACCACAGCTGCTGTGAATCTGCAGTCAGGAAAGCAGAACTGGTGTGACTGCAATTCAGGAAAGAAACTGAAAAGAGAGAGAGGGAAAAAAAAGGCTTTCTAAGACAGCTTGAAGAAAGCATGCCAATTAAATTTTTAAAGAGAGACAGAGGGTAGGAAGAAAAAAAAAAAAAGGAGCTAAAAATCTGGAGGAACCTGAAGAAAGTTGGGGAGGGGAGAGGGGAAGAAGGAGCACAAGAGAACTATAGAAATGAGAAATAGGATGAAGGATGAAGTGAAGAAAGTTAAGGCATTGTACAGCAGCAGCAGCACACAGATTGAAGCTAATTACTGAGGGAGAAGAAGGAAAGGAGGACCAGAAGAGGATATATGATGAAACAAGGGAAGAAGTCCTTACAAGAAAAGAAGAGAATCCACACAGAAACAAGAGAGAAAGCAAAGAGGAATGTGACCAAGACAAGAAACCTTTTTTAGGGCAGTGCTGTGTGACTGAGCAGGAAGGCAGGGAACGAGTGAGACAGGATGTGTGTACAGGATGTGGGACACATTTTCCCATTGTTCCCTCCAGTAAGCATTCGAATTTCACCGCAAGCAATGGCTTTGCACTTGGTGGGGAGCCTCGAGTGTCACATCCCACTGGTGGGGGTAGAAATAGCCATTCACCTGCTCAGGTGCAGTGAGGAACCCTCTGGCACCATCATGGAACCTCCAAGGAAAAGTGTCTCCAGGTGGGGCGGGGTCATCCTGCAGGCCTTGGATGTTCACTGCACCTCTTATTGCAGTGCTGTGTATTCCACATGGATGTGACAGAGAGTAATTCCTAGCACAGTGGCCGTGCTGTGACATTTAAAGCCCAGGATTCAAGTTGTATTTCCTACAAATGACATTTCTGAGGCTCCCTTGCATTTCCCATCCAGCTCAGTTTGATCACATCCTGAGATAAGAGAAAGGGGAGCAGCTTCTCCCCACGCCTCTCCCAGAGATCCTCAGTGTCACAGCTGCAATGGAAACCTCTCTTCTGGCCAAGGAGAGAAAAAACTCTTAGGATCACTTGTGGGCACCTAGAGGCACAGCCAAACACCCACAGGATTTCTCAGGAATACCTGAGCTGCCTCAGTGCTTTCCTAGTGCCTGTCTTCATCCTAAGGTGCCTACATACCTTTGAAAAGTTGGCCTTTAGCCCCTTATCCTTATAAAAGTATTTCTCCTGGAATAAATGACAGGCAATTAGTTTAAGAATGAGGCACTCCCTTTTAAATCCAGTACAAACAGTGAGAGTAGATCAATCACCACAAGACCAGTGACTCCAAATAGATATTTCGCCAAAGTAAATCATAAGAATATAATTTTTAAGCTGCCTATGTTAATGCATGGATAAAATGTTTAAATCCTATTAGAGAAGTTTTTTTTAAATATAGTTCTCACTTAGCAACTATTTTCCAAAATAAAGGTACTAATGTCAGAGTAAAGGTATGTTGAGAAAGAGGTTTTCTGAAAGCTGATGATATGTCCTGAGATACAGATGTGAATGAATAATTAGAGGTTAAAAATACTAAAAATCTTATAATATTTTAAAAACCAAACATAAAATACATCAACTAGCTGGGGTAAGGAAGACGATTCCTTCACTAGTACAATGGTGCAAAGTTCTTCATTATAAAGTGCTTGACCAATCACTTTCATAGATATTAAACCAGAGAGATAAAATGTGATAATCCCCATAGAGATGACTTTCATGTCTTTCTCAATACATTAATGTCTATTGATGCTCATTGACAAAGCTTCTCAATGACCACCAGTTATAAAAAACCTTTGCTAATTCAAACATTCAGGGATGAATAACTGCTAGGGAGGAATGAAATCCATTAGCAAATGAGGACAAGGAAAAGGAAGTTCAAAAGAGCAACAGTGAACTCCTTTTCAAAATGTATCATCAGAACAATAAGCTGGAGTTCTCTGAGAAGGACCGAGCATCCTGTGAATATAAACTGTTGGTAAATGGCAGGAAAGAGACCTCCTGGCACTTGTGAACATGCAAGAAACATCTGGTGCTGGCCATAGTCATCCCAAACCTCAGCCGACACACAGAGCATAGTGACACCCTGCACTTCAGATGGCAAGTAGCCAGGGGACATTTCAAAATCAGAGGATGAGAGGTTGCAGGAGATGTCTCTGGATTTTAATCTGTCATGTGTTTATAATAAAATAAATTAAATAATTTTTAAAAATTGATCAATCAAATCTTCCATTTTGCTGAAAATTGAATGGTTTTGACTAGGCAGAAAACCCACTGAAATCTGTTGAGATTTATTTACCTTGTTGTAATTTTAATTTTTTTGCCTGTTAAAAAAAAAAAAAAAAAAAAAAAAAAAAAACCAAAAAAACAAAACAAAACAAAACAAAAAAACACCCTGATGGTGATTTACATCTTTTCAGGTGCCAGCTCCATTTCTAGAAGGTGTTCCAAAAAATAGCCAAATGCTCAATAGCCAAGTGTGGGAGGAGTCTAATGGTTGCATTTCAGGAGTACTCAGGGGGGCAGAAGTGGAAAACTATTGCTGTGGTATGAGCTGTGAGTCTCCCCACACTAGGAGAGGAATGGGTGAATAACTGAGGAGAGAGGGGAAATAGTTGAAAGAGGCAGTGTTGTTGAAAACAGAGAGGAAATAAAATACCTTTGTTTAAAAACATGCTTTCTTCAATCAAGCCCTTTCCACTGTTTATTTTGACTGATTATGTTACAGCACACAACACAGATGATCACAATGATATCTTCTGGCCTTGTATCATGACCACAAGACTTTTAGCTCTGTTTCTGGGAATGGCATCCTCAGGTGACAGCCACATCTCCCAGACCCACACACTGAAAGCTCTTGTGAAGGAACAGAAAACTAGGAGGTCTCCCAGAGGAGGTCTCCTCTGAGGAGAATACCTTCACCATAAATTTCATGGTGGGTGCAGAAGACACGGAGGCAAGGACTGAAAGATCCCGTGCTTGGTGGCCCGGCTTTCAGCTCCCTGTAGTGACACCAGGGCTCTACCTATTGAAATTACTGCAGTTTGAACAATTAGGACTCTCAAAAGAACATTCCTTCCAATTCCTCAAGCTGTTGCCAAGATTTTTTTCATGCTGTTAGAAAGGCAAGGAGCATCACCGGTGTAAAGCATGTGCCAAGCAAGAGAGAAACCAGACTTCTTAGGTTCAGTTTTTGCACTCAGAAAATAGGACAGCTGCAGAGGCTCAGCAGTAAGATGTGGTGTGAGCAGCGGTGGCCCCAAGCCACAGGGGCTGGTGACAGAGTCACACATCAATGTAGAACAAAGCATGGGTGAAGAATTTTCACACTGGAAATGTGCTTCAACCTCATAACAAAGGAACAGCCTTCTGTCAACCCCAAATATAGGTTTGAACTTGCTGTTCCTTCAGAGCATGGGTATGTTCAATGAGCTCCCTACTTCATTTTGGTATCACTGTCTAGCTAACTAGCACTGAAAAGTTATATATGTTTATGAAAATACCTTGGCTGCTTCTCTGATCATGTCTCAAGAAGAATCACAGTTTATTCATTTATTTTTGTGGGTGAGAATGTGCATCCTCATATTCTTTAGGAACACTGGTTCAGTCTTCCCTCACGTGCTAACAAGGAAATTTGGCTTCCACATTGCAGCTGCAACATTTAGTC